GGTTTCCAAATACCTCCAGTGCCCGAGTTTCAGCCCGATGCTGAACTAGGAGCGAGTCTTGCTTCAAAATGGCGGACATGGCTTGCAGATTTTGAAATGTTTTTAACTGCCAGTGGAATTACCAATGCAACAAGGAAACGTGCTTTATTACTTTACCTGGCAGGCAGTCGTGTTCGGGAAATTTTTCAACATTTACAAGATGTAGGGAATGCTGATGATTACGATACAGCGAAGACGAAGCTTACCACCCACTTCGAGCCTCAAAAGAATCACCGTTATGAGGTTTATCGGTTTCGTGAGACCAAGCAAGAGCAAGGGGAAACATTAGATCAATATCATACACGTTTACGAGCCCTTTCTACTGCATGTGAATTTCAAGATTTAGAATTCGAAATCGAACAGCAAATTGTTGTTGGTGGTATTTCCTCGCGAATTCGTCGAAGGGCACTACGTGACCCTACCTACGATCTGAAACAAATGTTACTGGATGGAAGACGTGAAGAAATGAGTTCCTTTCAAACTCGAGAGATTGAATATAATGAGAATACTGCTGCTGTTGTACATCCTTTTAAATCTGTCAACAAAGAAGGCAAGAAATGCTATACTTGCGGAGGGGACTACCCTCACAAAGGGGAATGCCCTGCAAAAGGAAAGCAATGCGGAAGCTGTGGTAAACAAGGTCATTTTGCGGTCGTTTGTAAAAGTAAAGGAGACAAAATAGATCGCAGAAACAAAGGAAGCAGATCACATCGAAAGCACAAACCAAGAATTCGCCCACTCAAACATACTGAGTATTCTTCTAGTTCTGAGGATGAATATATGTACGCAATGTCTTCAGCCAGTCCACGCACACCACAAGTATGGATTACTGTTGCAGGTCACAAATTCAAAGCTCTTGTGGACAGTGGTGCTACAATAAATGTGATTGATGCTGACACTTTTGCAAATCTAAAAAATGTTAAGCTCCTGCGCACAAGCACGAAGGCATATCCTTATCAGAGTAAAATACCAGTTGAGTTTCTTGGAAAATTCGAAAGCATTATTGAAACCAAGAAGAAATACACTGTGGGAACAGTCTATGTGGTAAAAGGGAAGGACAGCGGATGTTTACTCTCACTTCAGACTGCACAGGAATTAGGCCTTATCAAGCTTCAATTAAATGCAGTACAAAGCCAAAATCTCCAGGACGACAGTCTAGCCAAAATTCTACAACAGTATTCTTCTGTGTTTCAAGGCCTTGGTAAATTAAAGAATCACCAGGTTAAATTGAACATTGACTCAAGTGTACCTCCAGTTGCTCAGCCACAACGTAGAATTCCTTTCCACATTAGGAAAAAGGTCAAGGTAGCCATAAAAGAGCTTGAAAGTCAAGGAATTATTGAAAAGGTGCCTGATTCTCAACCAACGCCATGGGTATCAGCAATAGTTGCAGTACCCAAGAAAGATGGCAATGTCAGAATATGTGTAGACATGCGCGCAGCAAACACTGCAATCAAACGTGTACGTCACTTGATTCCAACAGTAGCTGATATCAGTTTAGAGTTGAATGGTGCTAGATTCTTTTCAAAGCTTGATTTGTCCCAGGCTTATCATCAATTAGAGTTGCACCCAGACAGTCGTTTCATTACTACTTTTAGCACTCATCTCGGACTATATCGTTATACCCGCTTGAACTTCGGAACTAATGCAAGCGCTGAACTATTTCAACATACGTTACAGCAACACTTGCAAGGAATGGCTGGTGTTCAGAATATAGCCGATGACATCCTAGTCTTTGGAAGTACACGTCAAGAGCATGATCAGGCTCTTGAAAATTGCCTTAAACGCCTTAAAGAGAAAGGTCTTACCTTGAACAAGTCGAAATGCAGTTTTCTGAATACTGAGTTAGAGTTCTTTGGACAGATTTTCTCAGAGCAAGGTACACGACCTGACCCTCGCAGAACACAGGATGTTATTGATGCTGCTATACCACAAAATGTATCAGAACTGCGCAGTTTCTTAGGCATGGTGACATTCAGTTCCAAATATGTCGCCAACTTTGCCACCATTGCTACCCCTCTCCGTGAATTGACAAAAACAGGTGTCACATTTACATGGGAACAAAAGCACCAAACCGCATTCGACAAGCTGAAAGTAGCTATTACTAAACCACCAGTTATGGCATATTTTGATGCTAAGAAGGACACTGTGTTAACAGTTGATGCCAGTCCAGTGGGTTTGTCGGGAATACTATCTCAAAGATCCGCATGTGATGCAGAAGGTAAAGTTGTTGCATATGCTAGCCGAGCGTTATCAGCCGTAGAACATCGGTACTCTCAAACGGAGAAGGAGGCTCTTAGCATTGTTTGGGCCATAGAACATTTCCATTTATATCTTTATGGTCATTCATTTACACTGGAAACGGATCATAAGCCTTTAGAAATGATATATGGGAGGGCAAACTCAAAACCATGTGCTAGAATTGAGCGATGGGTTCTTCGCCTACAGCCGTACAATTTCCAAGTCAAGTATAAACCAGGACCAACTAATCAGGCTGATTTTCTATCACGACACCCTTCTATGTCTAACACTGGAAAACAAAGCAAGATTGCTGATGAATATGTACATTTTATAGTACAAAACGCTGTTCCGAAGTCAATGACTCTTTCTGAAGTTCGCGAAGAGACAGATAAAGACAGAGTTTTAAAAGCACTTCGAGCTGCAATTCGTCTCAATCGTTGGGATGCTGATACTGTTAAACCTTTTCGACCTGTCAAAGATGAACTATCTATTGATTCGTCAAATATAATACTACGTGGTGCCAGGATAGTTATACCTGAATCTTTGCACAAGAAAGCAGTTGACTTAGCCCATGTAAGTCACCAGGGATTAGAGAAAACCAAAGCACTTCTACGTGAAAAGATCTGGTTCCCTGGCATTGATGTACTTGTCAAGGAGACTATCACAAAATGTGTGCCTTGTCAAGCGGTCGGGAGAAGTAGTCCTCCTGAACCACTCCACATGACGGAAATGCCAAGTGCACCTTGGCAAAAGATTAACATTGATTTTCTTGGTCCACTTCCATCTGGCGAGCTACTTCTGGTTGTCATAGACAGATATAGCCGCTATCCAGAGGTGGAAATTGTTCGCTCGACCAAAAGTTCTGTAGTGATTCCCAAGTTGGATAAGATTTTTGCCGTCCATGGTATACCGTTTGAATTAACGTCTGATAATGGACCACCTTTCAATGGAGATGAGTTCTCTCGTTATTTGAAATTGTTGGGTGTAAAGTTTACTCGCTCTACTCCAAAATGGCCACAAGGTAACGCGGAAGTCGAACGCTTCATGCAACCATTAGCTAAAGCGCTAACGACAGCAGTTGTAGAAGGAAAGAAATGGCAACAAGAGCTATGCAGGTTTCTATTGCAATATAGAACAACGCCACATAGTACGACCAAGGTACCACCGTCCGAATTATTGTTTAACAGAACAGTTCGTGGAGCATTACCAACATTAAAACCTCGCACTATTGTTAATCGGCATAAAGAAGCTAAAGATAATGAGCAGAAGCGTTGTATCTACAATAAGACCTATGCAGATTTACATCGCAATGCCAAAGAAAGTTCGATCAAGGTTGGAGATACTGTTCTTGTACAACAAGAGAAGAAGCAGAAACTAATGCCCAAATTCAATACTACTCCATACAAAGTGATTGCTCGTAAAGGCACGACAGTTGTTGCAGAAAACAAAGAACGACATCGTATTACACGAGATGTTTCGCACTTTAAGCAGATTCCGGACATTAATGAAATGGATTATAGTAGCGAAGAGGAGCGTAATAATGAACCTGAACCAGCATGTGAATATAGGAGATCAAATAGAACAAGAAGAGCACCAGTGCGATATGGACATGGACTTTCTTATTAATAGTTGGTAACATTTACGTTTCTATATCTTCATATTCCTATTGTTCTGTTGTGTTGTTTTGTTTTAAAAAAAAAGGGGGTGATGTAGTAATGACGTATGTTATGTATTGGACACAGGGGTAAAAAGGGATTAACTAGAATAAGCAAGCATGCGAGCACGTTAGATACACATTAGAATTACAGATCCTGTTGTTATTCGAAGAGAGTATTTCTTTCCATATTACTACAACTCACAGAGTTTATATTGACTTACCAGCAAATCTCTTCAATGCGAAGACAAGACGTAGATTCTGCCTGATTTAGAAATGCGTATCACTGGCCCGGCGTCGTCAACTTGGTCTGAGATACTGAGCACTGGAGCTTCATAAACAAAACTTTATATTTGGTTGCCATGCCAGAAATCAATCCAAGCAACAAGCCAATAAAACAGTCAAGTTTTTCAAGGTATATTCAATCAATTCATCTGTGGAGATTGAATACTGATATTAAGGAGACTCTTTGATCATAACCTCCAAACCACATATCAATCTGCTATTTGCAAATTAATTGATGTTGCAATCATGTGGGTGATACCATAAAAGGGCACGACAGATTTGTTGTTTTGTTTCTAGTGTGGTGACAATGTCCTTTCATGGTGTGAGCTATTTACTATTGATATTGATTATGACAGTGACAGTTGGTTAAGACTTTTCATAGCTAGCGTAGATAAAATGTGCAAGGTGTTGTGATTTAATTATGCTCACTCGTGAATATATTTCTGATATCTTGACTGAAGATGCATGATGAGAGTTTTTTTTTTGCTTTATTATAAAAATAGTTCAGTCATTCATAATAGCATCTACGTGGTCGGTAGGTCGCTAACAATACTTTTCCACCAAGCCCTATCATTTGACCATCTTTTCACCATACCAAAATTCCAGATGTTCGCCTACCCCTTTACATTATCTATCCGATCCGTATCCTTCTGTGTCTTCCACGAGATCTCATACTTGGAAGAAACCTCTCCATGATGTTAGAAGATACTGTGTCACTTGATCTTCGTGCAACAGGCCCAAAAAGCGCAGCATTCCCTTTTGCAATGGTGCCGTTCAGTTTAGAGGTTGTTTTGAATTTTCTGTGCACTTTCTCATCTCCCCATATGCCTTTCAACATTCTCCGGTAACACCATAGCGCAAATGTCTGTATTTTGTCTTTTATCACTTTCCCAATGGTCCGTGCTGCTTCCATCCATAAGTAAAAATTGACCATACATACATTTGTAGGATGTTTACTTTGATCTTTATGTTGAAATTACTGACGAAAATTTGCCATCGCGCTTCTTTTCCTTATTTCATCTAAGTGTAGTAACCTAATTGACGATGCGCAGGAGCATTACCAGAATCTTAAAACTTCTAGCCTGTGCTCCAGAAACCTAACTTGAAAGTAGAGGGTCTGTGTAGACTTACTCCACGAGCCTCTGTTTCGCTACTGCCTCACTTGACGGACGCTACAACAGAGACTCATAATCCAAAGTACTCAAAAACTAGACTTACTCCATGAGCCTCTGTTTCGCTACTGCCTCACTTGACGGACTCGAGGCAGTAGCGAAACCGAGGCTCATGGAGTAAGTCTACTCAAAAACTGACAACTTCAATTTTGTCTCGTTCTCGATTTCTTTTAAAAATTTCCAAATCCACCCCCCCTGATTTGCACATTTTCACAGCTCTTTCATTCACATGTAAATTTGGAAATTTCTCTGGTGTGGATGTTACAGTGAAAAGTTCCGACTGTGCAACCGTAAGTAAATCTTTTTGCGGTATTTTCCTATAATTTTTTCCACGATGTCATGTAGAAAGATTTTTATAAGTTATTTCACTTGTTTGCATTAATTGCTGTGGCTTGTGCGTGACTAAAATGAATAAAAACCTCAGATTTTGTTGGCTCAATGATATTTTAAGTCAAATTAATGGAGGTAGACAAGTATCTGAAGGAGAAAGGCATGGTTTAGGAAAATCGAAAACTTCCAAGCGTTTACTCTACCGATAATTTTTTCCAGACCAGTTTAATTTTGATGTAACTTTCAAATATTGCGACTTAAGCCAAACTTTTAACTAAGCCTTGTAGCTAGGACCGTGGCAAAAACTAGCCACGGTCTTAGCTACAACTTTAAAATGAATAAAGTTGTTCCTCGTGTTATTGTGAGTAATTTTTTGTTATGTCTATCTTCTAGGTTACAACTCAATTGAATGAAGACAGACAATTCTTCCAACAACACTCAAAATTTGAGTCTTAATTCAAGTAAAATTTCATTGTGGACTTTTTCAAGAATCTAATATGAACTCGATTATAGTATCATTTATAA